TCTCTCATGCATAATCACTGCAAACGTTTATTCAGAATTCTTACTATGTATTTACTCTTGTCATTCGATGTGTGGAATCATATTTCTTCGAATTTATGTTTATACTTTTTCTATGAGAATTGAATGGTAATTACTGAGTAAATCTACTTGACATTTTTGAGTGCTGTTATTGTTTCTAGAAAGTGTCCATGTTTTCCTCTCTAAAGGAAAATTCCGGCACATTTGGACAGTTGGACGAAAAATCCTAGATCATTCTGGTTTACCGCAAATGAACCCACAACTTTTTCAAAATTGTCTACTTCATTCTGAAAAATGTTACATTCGAATAACTATTGTAAGGTAGGTGAATACAATATGCGCATGTCGGCAATATGCTCACGTACAATAGTTTGGCTATTTTGCGAAAGATGTCAGCACATACCCTACCCATAGGTTGCAGTTATCCTAACGCCATATTAGAGTCAACAATCCAGTCAGTTGCAAGCGTGAATCGAATGGTGTCGCTAACAATCGTTTTTTTGAGACAGCGTTATAATACTAGCACGGTAAGTTTTATATTATAAAGAGGCGAAAAAAAGTTTTAAAGCTTTGCAGTAATGTGTGATCCATATACGGATATTTAGTTTTATACTGGGGTGCAAGCAGTCGACGTAAGATCATACGTTCGAGAAAAACATAACCTAACCTAATTTTACTACATGTATAGCAATATGCCCACCATGCGGTGTGAGCAATATGCGCATGGGCATATTGTCAGCTCTTCGCTAATCAGTAAAATATTGTGTAAATTCTTTCAGGTATGACTGGTAAGGCGCGAAATCAGGGCATTCGTAGTAAGTGGAGCAAAGAAGACTTAAAAAATGCAGTCGCAGCTGTGCAGGAAGGTCGAATGTCTCGTCAAGGTGCTTCAAAGGCATTTTCAATACCAAGAAGAACTCTGTCTAGATATATTGATTGTAACCGAAGTGATAAGGCAAAAATGGGGCTCAAACCAGTACTGACTGCTGATCAAGAAGGCGAACTATCTAGAAGAATAATCCGTTTGGCGGAGGTTGGCTACCCGTTAACATCAAGGACACTTAGAAGGTGTGTTTTCAATTTCTGCACCGAAAATGGTATACAAAATGAATTTTCCACCATGTCTAGAATGGCTGGTCGATATTGGCTTATTGGATTTTTGAAAAGAAATCCTGAAATAAGGAAACGAAAAGCACAAAGTATGAATCCTCCTCGTGCCCAAAAACTGAACAGGTTTATTGTGAATGATCACTTTACAAAATTAAAAGAAATCCTTCTGGAACTAGGTATTATGGAGAGACCAGAAAGAATTTTCAATATTGATGAAAAAGGATGTACGCTAAACTTACACCATCAGCAAAGTGTGTTGGCAAAAAAAGGGGCCAAACGAGTTCACCTAGTAGCTCCAGAACACGGAGAAAACGTAACAATTGTGTCCTGTGGCAATGCCTTGGGTAATGCCATCCCACCGGCAATCTTATTCAAAGGTATAAGAATGAAACCAGAATGGCAAGATCCATTACCACCAGGAACACTAGTCCTTATGACTCCTAAAGGCAGCATGAATATTGTAACATTTTGCACCTGGATTGAGCATTTGGCTAAGCATAAGCCTCCAGGAAAATGTCTATTGATTTTTGATGGTGCTAAATGCCACCTGGACTATACGATTGTAGATGTTGCAGAAAAAAATGACATCGTACTTTATTGCTTACCGAGCAACACTACACATGAGTTACAGCCAATGGACAATGCGGTCTTTCGTTCTTTTGAACACCACTGGGATGATCAAGTACTCCAGTATTGGGTAAGATACAAAGATCGGAACCTCACAAAACAGCGGTTTGGTGAAATTTTTAGTAAAGTGTGGGAAAAAAGTGCAACGCCAGCAAATATAAAAGCAGGCTTCGCCGCAACTGGTATTTTTCCATTCAATCCCGAAGCAATAGGGGAATTGGCATACGCTCCTAGTGAAGTTACACAAATAAGAGATGAACTAGAGGACCCCATCGTCCAGCCCACCATAGCAGCATCTCCTGTAGCAGGGCCATCAAATATCCGAAAAAGGCCAAGAACTCCAAGTAGCTCTTCTCATAACGACACCTCGGGTGAAGAAAACGTGCCTCCAGTTCTGATGGATAGCTCGGATTCAGACGACGACATGTTCTCATCTAATCAACTTCTGCACAAGTCAATAACAGAAATGTTGGAAACCCCGGATAAAGTTGTGAAATCAGTAAAAAATATGAGGCAGAAGGCTATAAACAGTCGAGCTCTTGTAGTGAAACGAGCAGTTTTTAACAAAAACAATCCAGGTACATCTAATGTTGAGTCAGCACTCAAAGCTACAACAATAGCTAAAGCCATGTCAAGATCTGAAGCTATAATACCTAAAGCTACGTTAACAACTAAAGCGGCAAAATCTAAAGAAACGAGAAAAAAAATTACCTCAAGCAAAGTAAATGAGCAAGATTGGTATTGTGCAGTTTGTGAGTTAAATGAAATCGCTGATATGCGTCTGTGCTTCGTCTGTCAGAAGTATGTTCAAGAGGATTGCGTAGGTTTAACCAAAGAAATGAAAGAAAGATTTATTTGCCCATTATGCGAATAAAATGCAGTTTTTTTATTTTCTTTTATAATGTATACTAAGTTTAAAATAAACGTGTACTTATTTCACTTTTCTCATAATTTCAGGCATTTCCATACTTGGCCGTATTACCAACACCGTGTTGGTAATATGCTCATATACACATATTTTTAAACATTCGGTGAAAAATATTTCAAATAAATTTTTTGTGACAACGATTTTTTTGTAGCTTCTAAGTATATTGAACTCTATCATGCAATAATTGGCGTTTCTTATTATTCAACTTAACGCACAAATGAAAATAAAATGCTTAAGGTGGGCATATTGTATTCAATTACCTTACTTGATTTCGAGCTCTGACAATTCACTGGCAAATTATCCTCTGATTGATTTGACAGTCATCAAACAGTCAGAAGTTTCTCTACGAAGAGAGATTAGTTGTCGGTAATCGGTCTGACCTTCCTCAGCCAACTCGTAACGTTCTCTTGTACGCAATTAATACAGTCAGCGAGGTGTCAGTGACAGCTAATTGCGTGAACTAGGTCATGACTTGTCGCCGACTATCAGTTTGCTGATTGTCAGCAAACAGGCTGTACGAACAAACCATTCATGTCGGTTTTTTTGACATTATATAGATTTTCTGTGATATTGTCGAAATCACGAAAGATGACGATTACGTCATCATTTTAGTCTGTAGCAAATACTAACGACAGCGATTTCTAGCAATATTTTTAATGAAGTTTCAGATATGTTAGACAGACACAAACATAATGTTATTGTCTAAACAAACTGTATTACTAATTTGGATGTATCCGACAAAGATAGGCGATGTTTTCATGTTGCATGATCGATCATATTTGAAAGATGAATAGCTAGGTTATGTTAAAGCAGATTAGGTCGTTTTCGAATAATACTTTGGTCTTTGGTGTTCCTGTCTTAAGGTATTCTACTCATAACTGTTTTTTTCAAAACAAAAACTCCCCACTAAAGTTATTATTAAGGTATCACTCAAAACCATGAAATAAAATGAAAATAAAAATAATCAGTGAAATAACCTAACTTCGCAAAATCATAATATAAATTTGTTGTCATTATGTTCTGACATCGTGATTTTACCATCGACGTACGTCCATTGATTACTTCGGTACAATTTATGATATGACGTAATAGTCATCTTTCGTGATTTTGACTATATGCAGGTTTTTCTACAAGATGTCAACTTAGAACTAGCTATTTTCCACTTGATGTGCACGTGTTGCGAAAATGGTATGACGCCTCAGTTATCAGTGTTTGACTCTGATGTGATGTAACATCTGCTGCAGAGATAGCATTATTGGAGGTCTGAGCTTTAAGTTGTACCTATATACTATAGCTAGAAGGAAACGGCAGTGTATAGTGAGGATTTGTGTGATAATAATCTATGTTTATTATAATTCCATTAGTTTCTTGTCGCAAATACACTTATTTGAGATGCACGCAAAGCCAGAATTTCAAAAGATGAGAGAGATAAGAAAAGAATATCCCTAGTTGGTGAAGTAGGTATAGTACAACCAGCAGGTGAGAAAATATGCCACAGACATGAATATTTATGAAACGTGAAAAAGTTATTAGATTTTATATTATTTTCTATTTCCAGTCAAATAGAAAATAAAAATCAACGCCTAGATGTGAGGTACTGCGAAAATGTTTTGTGTGTTATGATTCATTCCTAATTTTTCTGATGTGGTTTAACTACATACAATGCGGGCGTGGTGCTGATTTCCCGTAATGCTTCTCAAAGTTTTTGAAAACGTAATTTATAACTTTGAACCTCTCTTCAGACAGGACAACACAAATAACCCGTGTGAGACAGCCAATAGATATCCTTCATGGGCAGCATATTCAGTAACAATTTTCTCACATTGCAAATATCATTTGATTTTATACACATTCAGACCAATATACACAATCATCCAGATGCGATCCTGCTACTTTGAACTTTGCTACTCAACCAATTTTCTTTGTCACATCTCAGAGATAATATACTCTTCAGACTATCTCGGCATTCTGCAACCAACAAAGCATGTTGGGAACTAACATGCAGCTAGTCATTGGCAGTGCAGTGGCGTAGGAGATAAAAACAGCGTGCCCAAATAGATCCCGCTTAGTTTATCATACACTGAAAATATACTTCAGTCAAATATGGTTCCTAGCTCCACATGATTATATATCATATATTAAGTACTAAATACACCCATCTTTGATGAAGATACCGTACACGTTTTGTATTGCTTGACAAACCCGATCAAAATTATTGTTTTAGTACTAAACGTTGACATTTACAGAAATCCTACCGAGTTTTGACAAGCTTTCATTTTTGGTAGTACTACTGGGTTGTGTGGCAGTAATAACTGACCTGGGTAAGTTCATACTTTGCAACATCGCTCAATCCAGCTAATTCACAACCGGTGCAACTGTTCAGTATTTCTTTCAAAAGAAGATCAACTTCAATTGGATCCAACATTTGCTGCAATTCCGTGACTGTTGTGTAACATACTGGGCTGACTTCTTCAGCATCTCCTTTATACTTTGTCAAACAAAACTGTTCATCCAATAACTTGTTGTTCAAAAATCTGCGATCAATACTGTTGCAATGGTTAGTTTCGTATTTCAGTTTTCTGCCGCGATCGCCTGTTAGGTCTAACAGATCTTTTATCACACAATTTTTTTTTGATTCCTCGTCTCTCAAACGGATCTGTAAAAAAACTCAGTGGGTCAGGGCAATAAAAGAAGGTTATGCTTTTGTTCCTGGCCTGGTAAAATTTATTTACAATGTTTGCTTAATTTCATTAATTCAGAAAACCACAAAAGGATAGTAGGTATAGTTTGTGCATGACTGTAAAAATGTAATATTCTTTATAGTAGGGAGATCAGCGGGCGATTTTGGCAAATCACTCTGACGCATTAAAACCTTGCACACTAGTAGACGGGACGGTAAAAGAATACATGTATGAAGTGTTGCCCGACTGGGCATCCTGGCAGAGTGTGTATACATGGAGATTCAAGATAAATGAGCACATGCTATAGTTCAATACGATGTAGAGCTACCGGATAAAAATATTTATGACCCAAAGTGACACGATAGGCTATATGAGAATTTTTCAAGGACGACTTTCATCCTGGCGAAGTGCTTACGACTGCGGAAACTGTTCACAAAATTGTATTTGATGCGGAAGTTTCCCAATAATGAAGTGTGCAAAGCTAGTCTAAGAAATGATGTGAACAGCGTCAAAGATTGATGCATTCAAGAATGCAATAGGGTAGGTTATTCTTGTAGGATTTACCTTGTGGTTGGTACCAGAACCTTCTGAAGATATTTCAGTCCTCTAAAGCATTGAGGCAGTGATTTTTAACAGTGAGTATGCAGAAGCAACTAATAAATGATACTTTTGTACAAGTGTGTGAAAAGTGTTTGAAAGAAATCAAATGTGCTCTTAAGTACAGAGACGAATGAAAATGAATAGATAAACGAGCTCAATTCCGGGTAAGCTATATAGATATGTGCTATTTAGTAATATGGATTCCAAGAGATTTAATTATTGTAAAAATTGTCAGTAATAAAAGATGGAAACATAATCTAGATGCATTTCACTTGAAAGATTCCCTACCAATATTGTATTATGAAGAATAAAATAATGCTTCGATACTATTTTAGTAAATATAAGTATGTTAGTATTTTATTTAATATATTTTACAAAAGTACCCTGAAGAGGCCTGAACCCTATGGGTCGTTTCTGAATGTGACTTATAGGTCTATTGTGAGGCATATGTTACTTTAATTTTAAGTAATAAAAAGCATATTACCATATTCTCGTTCCATAGGCAGTCTCCCACATAATTCCTATTGATAACAAATAATTTCTCGTAATTATTATTTACGTAGTGATTGCACTTGTTACAGTTAAATGGACCACTAATGAAACTCGCATTTCTCTTGCAACTCCCCGAGAAGGTTGCATAGAACATCTTGTTATAGGAATCTTCAGCGCGTAGAAATTCATCTGAGAACTTCAATTTATTGGTGAAGAATGGGGATATGTTAAAGTTGGCATTGGATTCGGCCATGCATCTGACGCAACGTTTAGTGAATTTGACTTTCTTGTTATCCATCGCTGTCGCAATATCTTCTCCTATGGATAAAAATGTAATGGTCCTCAACATGGATAAGAAATCTCAATGGATTTTAGCAAAAAGGTGTATTTTTGTTTTCCAGGGATATTTCTCCGCAAGATTTTCTCCGTCACCATGACAATGCCCCAAACCAAATTTTTTTGTATTAATATCAAGAAGCTCTTCTTTCCAAGTGCTTCATTTTTATTGTTTGTTTTAATTTATTCTAAAATCTGACAGAAGGACGAACCTTTTATTTGATATTCATGTTACAGTCTCCAGATTGTGCAATATGCTTAAAAACAGGTATGTTGTATATAATTACTGTAATAAAAAAGGCCGTTTAAAGAAAGAGAAAATCTACAGTTACATTTTGGCGCGAAAGTGCGCATATTTTACAGCCAACTCAAGATATCATCTACCTTGGTAATCAGGGAACTATAGTCTGAATATCCAAGGAAGACCAAAATATAACCAGTGCGTGTTCAGCGCGTGTTCAGCACGTTGATATATTTCATGAAACGGGGAGCATAACTATTACTGGGCAGAATCGGTCGAGCCCATATGCAGCATAGATACCAAACCAGGAAGGTGGAGTGGAGGACCATACGACGGTGCATGTAGCCTCGCCGGCCCTCAGTGTTAGCTTGGCGTTCTGGAGTCCGATCACGTGAAGTATGCGTGAACATGTTTGGGTTGAGCTTCTTTCTTCGATAAACAGACTATAGAGAATAATAACCTTTTTTATTTAAGTGGAGAGGTTTCCTACCTATTGACAACGATAAGCTATCTGTGGGATTTTTGGTGAGCACCACGTCATTGTTGAGTCGGATATCAACGTTGTTGTTCGCATTATAGCTGACAGTTGCATATTGGGGATGCTCGAACTTGAAGTCTAGTGACACATATACATATCCGTCATACAGATCTTTCGATACGTGTACAGAACTGGTTATTTTTGTTTTGTCTGCATATTTTACCTGAAATTAAAAATTGTGACTGACCCTTGTAGTATATGTAGAATATGTTCAAAATTTTGGATCTATGTAGAACACAAAAACACACCGCTGCAAAATCATTTTCCGCGAGTTGGTGTGCCTCCTATGAGTTGTTTGTCAAAGCGGTGCACCCAACCCACACGTCGGTAAGGGGTTTCTACGTTTCCAGTCACCGCTGAATGGCAGTCTGCCTAATGAATTGTCTCCATCATAGGCGACTCGTCAATCAGTGGAACACTAAATACTCACCACGATATCAGCTGTGGTATGATATACAAAAATTGTATAAACATAGAAGGCTCATGAATAGGACCTGTTTTGTTCCCGTCTCTGTGACTCAGGGTTGCAAGATTCAACGACGATCACGTAGCCAGGCGGAATGAGAAAAGTCACGTAAAGCGCCAATTATTTCATTTCTATAGACATGTTTTTGCAAACAAAATCGTTCTCAAGAAATTTAAAACTGAAAGTTATTTGATCCAGGCGCAATTATTTCACAATAAGAGTAAAAAAACAAACTCGCGAGTGAGTGGAAGAATTTTTAACATTTGCTGGTTTAAGAATTTGAAGTGATTACCTTTAAGTCACCTAGTAGATAGATAGTTGGGGATTGATGGATATTAAAGCTTGGAAGACATTTTACTGTCAAAAGACTCAAAAGTGTTAAATCAAGATCAGCAAGTTATTTTGTGTCTTCAAACTGCCAACGAAATATTAGAAATCTTTGATATACTATAGCGGAATATTCGTCAAAGTCTACTACCCTGATTACAACCATCTTTGGCAGAGTGCAGATTGTTAGATCCAGAGTGGAAAAAATCTTCCTTCATTTCTATTATATTTTTTACCGTTGCTATCAACTAGTAACTGTGTGTGATTTGTTAGCATAAGCAAAGCATAAAGTGCTGGCCGCTTGAGTGCAACTGGCTATTATAGATTCTCGTCAATTGTACATTGATTTGACAGTGTTTTCGACTAAATGAAATATCCCAATTACATTGTATGCTGGCTCGGAAGATGGCAAGGCGGAAGCTTCCTATTTTTTGAAACACACTTAAAATGATATTCTAAGTAATGTGAAGTATAGTCCCGAGTACAGACTGAAAAAGATTTGTTGAATATCTTAAAAAATGGCATTGCGATGCACCCGCCGCGCACGCTTCGCGCCATTTACAAGCGTTGCTCTGTTTCGTATTTACGATTTACGGTAAAAACAGGAAAAATGGGTCAGACCATCTACTTACAAATACTGTATACTAGGTGTATAAATACAGACGTATCAACTGCAGAAAACAACTTGAGCTGAGCCAAAACATAGAAGAATTAGAAGGAAGTGGCGCACGGGAAAGAGCAGGACAGGCACGATAGAATTGTCTCTTTCGGAAATATCATTATACTACAGAAAATATCATTTTGATCTTAGCAGGTATTTAGCTAGTATGGTAAAAAGGATCAAAATAAATATTAGTGTATTGCTTATTATGATGGATAAATAATTGTTGTAAACGAGAACGGGATAGATTTGATTGTTGATTTGATTTCGATGTGAATATTGTCACAGTGATCATGTTGTGGCTGGAGGGGAATACTCTTTGAACGTTATGTGTGTCGACGTGGAGATGCATAGGCCACAGGAACCGAAAATCTTGGCCAAAAGTGTAACAACTTGTATAATCGAATAGAGCCACGTTTTAAAATAATGAGCTGTATTGAGATATGGCAAATTAGATTTCGGAGTCGAAGGTTTGTATAGTTATCATGATATGGAATTATTATGAAATATTACCAATTGCTACTATACGACCACAATATGTAATTGATATTTTTTACGTAATAGATAAATTCAAAAAGAGATAAAAAAGCCCAGAGTCTCTATTTCACAGAAGCATGTTTATCAGATGCCCAGCTAAGATATATTAATTTTGGTTACAGCTGACTTCAAGTTTTACAGTTATGCAACAAAAATACATAAGCTATGTCATAAAAACATATACAACTATAATTCGACCGCAATTCGCCACATTTTTTGCAAACATAGCCGTCATATCGGATCTGCTATTTAGACTTTTTGTAAATCTCCTCTCTATCTCAACATATTTAATTCGTTATCAGCGATCACTTGCAACTTTCTTGTAAATATACCCGCAAAAGTTCGTTAGTAGCGATCCTCTAACATTTCTTTGCAAATATGTACACCATATTAAACCTGCCATTTTGGTCTTTGTAAAATGGAAATGATATTTGTTATCAACGATCTGGAAAATCGCGGAAAGTAAAAAATCCCTGCTTCACCGACTTATGAGTTAGAGTTCCGATTTGGAGAATTACAACACAATAAAAAGCATTATCTTGCTTGACATCAATAAAACGAAGAGAAGCAGTGTTGCTTCAAAGTTCAAAATGTTGTTTCAATCAACAGAAAGTCCAACAAGAAAAAGAACGACGCCAGAGAAAGTTGTAACTGCAAACTTTTGTTCCTGCGGCATTATAATAATTGATAAAATATGTACTGAAACAAGACTGTTTCTTGTGAGAGCAACCCATTTTATCGATGTCATATCATGTTATGATGAAAGTGACTAAACGATTATTGTACAATGTACAGGGTTTGAAATATTATCCACTATGGTTTAGAGTGAAAATTTGGACAAAATTTCTACAGTCTAACGACAGTACAATGATATTGTAGATCCAATTTGTCATAAAAGTGTAGTGCGTCCAGATGAAAGAAGTACACATTTTCGAAAGGCCGAACAGACCATAATTATTTTTTTATGGCTTGAATTTATTAATGTTGTGTCTGCAATCTCAAGATCCTCCTCCGCCTCCTCCTCCTCCTCCTCCTCTCTAACGACAATACAGCGATAAAGCAGATCCTGCTAAACACCTCTGCACCAAAAAGGTGCTTGCAGTGTATTAGGGTGAAATCAGGTTAGATACCTACATACTTACTCGTACATGCCAAATAAAGTTAACGTTTACGTGTGTGGTTATTTGTGATTGCCAAAACTCTCCAATATTTACCTGTAACCTTCCAGTTTTATCAAACATTGCTTCAAATCCATCAGTTCTTTCGTAAAACACTTCATCGGTGAAACAGTCTTTCTGTTGTGTCGTATAGAACAACTGCTTCTCAGTAATCTTATTTTTCTGCAAGCATATGTACTTCCCATCGAACTTGATGGAAGACGACTTTAGATATGGGATTTTCGAATTCTTTAACATGTTAGCAACCTCGTCGCTTATAACGTATCCCTTTTTGATACGCATGTAAGCTCTTCTACTAATATAGCATTCTCCCTGGTTTGTCGTACCTTTAAAATATTCAGAGATATCAGTAGGTGATATAAGCCAGATGTAAGACCTTCCAAGAAGCAAGCCAATTCTCAGATCTCTCACAGAACATGCCAGTTGTAAGACCTCTCTGTAGATCAGCCCCCCACATTGGATGCGGAAATGGTCCAACAGAGAGCGTAGTTGAGTGCCACACTCAATGTGCCATAACTCATCGTCCAATTGAACTCTAACGCGCAGGAGCACTGTATCCCCGCTCCAATCTTGTAATACATCCGAATGTTCGACTTGTTGTATGTTGTATGATAGAAATGGATACTTCAATGCTCAGGATCGCCCGCTCCACGCTCCAATCCTGATATGCAGAAAGGCGAGAAGTCACTTTGTTAACTTTAAGTGATGGGTACGCATACTCCGTTATAATGTAAGTATACATGTGGTGAAAGTGGTAAAACGTTTACGTGGTCGGAATATTTACGTCACTATGCAAGAAATATTCACAAAAGAGAGCCCGAATCTACCACGGAACCACAAACTAAGAACATCAAGCTGAATATTTCACCTGAGAACATGATTTGTCCATGCTGCAACATAACGCTTCCGAAAAATTGAATGACCGCCCACACAATAACATCACAACTCACAACACAGAACAAACTCATCGGTTCCAATAAGTGATGGTGCAAGGCTTATCAAGAACGCATTCAGATGTAGACTTGCCAATTACAGATTCAGTGCATCAGATGCGTATACCGCCTTTAAAGACTTTTCCGCAATATCCAATAAAATGTACTTGAGTCTATAGAAGATAACCTTCAAGTGTATAGAGCGATGAAAGTGAATATGGACGTATTACAGACCAAATATGTGGATATCAACCCATTCAATGCAGCCAACAAAGTAATATATGAGGGAGTGGACTTATGTGATGTTTAGGAGCAGTTCACTGCCAAAATTATATCTCAGTCATCCGAGTTTGAAGAAAAGAGTTCTGGTCAGCTATTTAGATTAACAAAGAAAAATCTTGCAATTCTGTTCATAAAGTTGGTTATTGTTATTATTATTATTGTTATTATTATTATCATTAAATTTGAGAGACCAATCATGTTTTTTGCTTGTTTTCAGGATGGGCGATAGAAACTGTTCTGTTTACTGAAGTACATATAAATAAGTTTCATCATGTTTCTACCCACACTTCTCCGGTTAATCTTAAAGACATGCTATATCCATAAATATATATGGGCTTGCAATATTGAATAAAAACGGTAATGTTATTTATGAAATAGTGGGCCCATTGAGATATGCTCAAAAAAAGTCAACACTGCATGTTGATCTACGCTATTTAACCGATGATAAAAACGAAATGATCACTGCTACTAGGTAAGGGATTTTTTACCGTCAGTTTCACATCAGATAAGCTTAAATGGGTACAGTAGGTATTCCTACGATTATTGCTTGTTACCCTTTTCGACTGAAACTTTTCTTGATACCCATCAAAAAAGAAAGTTGGTAACCATGTATCCACCACTGAGAAGTTGCAAACTAACAAATATATAGTTGGACCAGCGAAAGATTGCAAGCCGAAAGAATGCGGACAAAAAATTGCGAAGTTGTCAGATGTTCTACATAAAATGCGGTCCATACATATTAACATATTTAAGATATAGAATTGTTCCGCTGAATTTGGCAATGTAGCTGGAAAACCCAGGCCGCAGGTAAACATCCGGTCGCTGATTGGTCCAAAACTCTTATCTTATCTGAAACTAGAATAACGTGCCGATGGCACGGTCATTTATAAACCTACTCCCATAGGCGTAGGCAGTTGGCAAATACTTTGAAAATATAATTTACTGTTTAGTGGTGATAATGGAATTCAAGCATGGGAAAGTTATTCACAGCCAGGCAAGGGAAATAATAGCAAACGTGATACGTGCTTGCGATGCAGAAGCGGCTAACAATACTTTCGTTTATCCACTGGTAGCTAGAAATGCAAGGGCGGCATATTATACGGGTGTTAGTGAACGAACTATAAGTAAAATTAGAAAAGAAGATAAAGACAGGCAAAATGCAACCTCCACACAGCCTTTAGCTTCTCCCGGAAAAAAGAGATCACGCCCTTCTGTGATCCAAAAAATTGATGGAGTCGATTTTTCCATTATTCGGAGAATGATAGAAAAATTTTACTGTGATTTTAAAGTGGTACCTACTTGTAGTAAACTTCTAATCAAACTGAAGGAAGAAATGGAATTTCCATTTGGTAAAGAATCGTTGAGGCTGCTTTTAAAAGCAAAAGGATTTTACTGGCGTAAATGCCACAACAAAAGGAAATTACTAATGGAAAGACCCAGTATTTTACATTGGCGATACAAGTATCTTAGGTCTATTAAAAAGTTCCGGGAAGAAGGAAGGCATATTATTTATTTGGACGAAACTTGGGTTGATAATGACCTCACTTTCAAGAAATGCTGGCAAAGCGAAGAAATTATGGGTGTCCTGAGCAATATAAGTTCTACAGGTAATAAAGTTTCTTTCACCTCGATTTTGCTTATTATACATTTTTCTCAATTTTGGAATATTCTTAATAAGTGCTCATTTAATTTGTCTAATTGAATACATAATCCCTTGCAAGTATTTTTTTCTCAAAAATATGTTTTTTATACATAGTGATTCAAAAAGGTGTTGGCAAACTTAAAATAACACTAAAATGAGGCTATTTATTCATTTCCAGGACGACTTATAATTGTTCATGCGGGTTCGCAAGATGGTTTTGTTCCTGGAGCCTGTCTCATTTTCAAGGCTGGCTGTGCCACTGGTGATTATCACGGTCAAATGAACCAAGAAAATTTCACGAAGTGGCTTACTGAAAAACTATTTCCTAACATTCCTCCTAATAGTATTATAATAATGGATAATGCACCTTACCATTCAGCTTTGGAAGACAAGCCTCCAACTAGATCTTCTCTAAAAAGAGACATCATCACGTGGTTGAGCAAAAAAGGTATAGAGCATGATCCTAATGCTAAAAAAATGGAGCTTTATGAAATAGCTTGTCTACATAGGCCACCATCTGATGAGAAAAATTATAAGATAGATAATTTAATAAGAAGTTTCGGACACACCCCACTTCGAACGCCACCCTATATGTGTCAGTTTAATCCCATAGAGATGATTTGGGCACAAGTAAAATTTTTCATTAGAAGCCATAATACAAGCGGCGAATTTACTATAAAAAAACTAGATGAAATTTCTAATAAGGCCATCGCTTCAGTAAGTGCCAGTGACTGGCAAAAGGTTATTGGACATGTTATAAAAATTGAAAATGAATATTGGGAAAAAGACAGTCTCATTCAAGAAATACAGGAAGAAATAATAATCAACATAGGAGGTGAAAGTGATAGCAATGACAGTTCCTCAGACAGTGATCATGACTCTAATCAGGATTGAAACTATACTAGATTGGCTACCTTTTAGAATTTTTAGATATTCATTTATTATACTATTGGTTTGTGGCTTTTAGTATCTCAGTAGAAAGTCTAATTCTATGTGTTGTTTATGGGTTATTTCATCAAGAAATTACTTTTTGTTTTCCTATATTTTTCTATTCAGTCAGATATTTTTGACTTGTTGTATTCTATTTTAGAAGAATGCATAATTTGTTTTGCTGTTCAATCATAATGCGTACATAGGAATATTACTTGTTGCCTAAAAAATATATTTATTTTGTTCTCAATATTCAGTGTTTGTGTATATTTATTTCTTATAATGTATGTTTGGTATCACGTCATTATGAATCGCAAAAAAATATTAATACTACCAGTTGTAATAAAATATAAATTCAATTAATAATTCAAGTCTCTCCGATCTCCGCCTATGACTCCATATAAAATCGTCTAATGGTAAGGTTTTTTCATCGCATTTCCCCCTTTCGTCCCTAGCAATCTTTGGCTGGTCGATCAATAGTAAAGACGTTCCAGAAAACATAAGTACAAGCATTGAGACTAAAATGTACTGAACTTTATCTATGACTCAAGGCCTAGAGGTAATCACTGCCTATAGGGAATGGGAGTCAGTTTAATGCTTTTAAATCTCAGCACTTCACCTAATCACAATAGGATTCATTTCATATTTTAGAGGTGTTTATTACCTTTCAAGATCATAGCTAGTTTTTTCCTGTAATCAGCAACTGTTTTGCAATGGCATTTTCGAAGATTCGATTTGACAACGTCTTCAATCTCACTGTCAGGTTTATCATATTCAACTGTATCGCCATTGGACTTTAGGATAGTTATTGATCCATCTACTTTCTTTATCAGTACAAATCCTTCAAAAAAATCGTAGATCACGGGTAAGACAATAGTATGAACAAACTTTAGATGCGGCCCATGTCCAGTAACGTATTGTACTTAAGTGTCTTCCATACACGGTTCGTATACTCTATAAATTTTAAGCTTCGAGGGTTGACCTTTATGCGGCGCCCTTAACCCACCTACATTAAATTCCTACCTATTATTTTCATACATAAACCCTACAAGACCTACATACTTGTTCAATCGGAGCTAAACGATTTCAAAAGGGTCCCGGTAAAAAATTTGACCGGCTGTTTAGAACAAGTCTCTTACGGTAGAGATCACCTATTGAAATTCTTCTCTAGAAAATGTTAATTTTGGAAACATTTTCAAATTATTGGAATCGAACCTGGCGTACATGGTGGGTATTCTACTAACTGTTTCCACTCAAGATTTTTGTTTGGTGTAGGGCAGCTATAGCAAGGTTGTGTGCGGTTGGTTGAGGTACAGGGAAGGAAAGCAAACAGATTCAGTTCAACCTATGTCTATTTATGCAGTTCTACATGACAAATTATTGCTGGTAGCGTTGAGAATACTTCGTATTCCGGCTGATAGACGCGTCGCCCGTTCATAGAAAAGTAACTGTCATTTAGCGGACACCAGAGGCAGAGGCCTTCTGCATTTTTAGCGTATTTCGAAATTTTAAGATTAAGTTTGCATAATAGGTCCATGTACCCTTTAATGTTTTGGCTAGTCTACACCATTACATTTAGCTCACCGCTATGCTGAGTTCTACAAGAGGTCCTTCCACACTGAAAATCTCGATAACGTGATTATATCGTAACAGCTGCCAAAATGCTTTGATGAGTCTTAGGGGACACAATACCTTTTTTTGCATATATTTTATGTCGTTGTCACTTATGAACCAAACATCACATAACGCTAAGCGTAGTTACTAAATATTTTGTTAACATAGCCCTTCGAAATTACTTGTTTTATTGTCAACAACCGTCATAAAATGAGCATCTGCAAAAGGGTCAGGGGGGAGCATATAGATCAACCATCGTACATTTCATGTCGCTTTATTTTATTTATTGCTTAAAGCATTTAATGTCTGTGTTTATTTGGTATCGAATCAAACTGAACATAAGACAGAAGTGGCGTTGATGCCACTGTGAAGCCGAATCAGGAAAGAGCTTATACAGGATTACCGGTAATTTGCCGTATTTCTTCCAGAGGGTCATAGGAGGCCGAAACATTTTTTACTTTCCAAGTTATCCCAAATTTGCATGATCAGTGCCCGTGTTACGTGTTTTCGATATGTAGCCTCTTAGTAACCCCAATAGGCGTAGGAAATTCGGCGATTAGAACTAAATAATGTTCATATTCTCGGTGAGCTTCAACAGCGACTCGACAAAACTATAAAAGACAACTTAGCCCCCCTTTTATCACAAAGGTAACAAAAGCAGTATCTATACAATGAACGCACGCACCCATCTATCGCACCTAAGAGGCTCGCACTGAACAATTAAAAAAAATTGATGCACTTATTAGAAATGATGAATAATGTCAGTTATTTAATGGATTTTTAGTTGATCCAAACTGGTTTGGATTGCTGTTTGTTAGGAATTAAAGGCTTTTATACTGATGCTTAATACCTTTTCGGAAAGCTGACTACATGGGTAAGTTTTTATAGAAACTCACCAAGTACAAGCAATTTTTGAGTCAGACAGTTGATTTGGAGAAGGCTGGAAACGAATACTTTTATTTTTCGGAGTAGGTGTTATTTTATTCGGTGCAGCCTTTTTTCAGCATTCATGGATGTATAAGGTTATTTTAAGTATAGGCTACGAAGATTAATTGAATTTTTAGTCATGTATGTTATAGTTTCTTAATCATTTAGTCTCAAGTGCCCGGTTTCGGATGATTGTTGAAAAATCAAAATATTTTGTAATCTCATGAACTATGGATTTTCGACCATACATACATAGGGTGAAATTTGTTGCATTTTAGGCCCTCTTTCACGGCCTGGTAGTGGCACGGTGAATTATCAGTAACCCTGTGTTCATTTTTGCATCATATTTCATTTTATATTAGATGTAAGCAAAATGGCTCAAATGTCTTCCGATATTGATCGTTTAAGCTACTATAGCAGATCATGTTGGTCCAGTTTAAAAAAAATATTGACGTTGTGTTGTGACGTTGATCTAGTTTGTAAACTGACCTCCTCTTGCGAAGAGTCGGAACTCCTCGTGCATGATACCACTTTGGTCAACTCCCTTTTCGAGATACTCCTGTTTCACTTCGCATAGATCTTCTCTTATCTGAGATGGATAACACGTAATGTACAATCCATTGGGCAGAGTGATTCGGAAATCCACACTGCTATTTACTTCCAAAGACTTTCCTTCTGCATCAGAGTAGTCGAATCTTCGTGCGAAAAGTTCATTCCCATAGAATCTTTTTATACGCTTGTGTAGTATTTGGTTGAAAATGCTGGTGATTGGTATCTCAGTCTTTGAACATTTTCGTTTTAGATAGTTCAGTTTGTTCTGGATTTTGTACACCTTAGAGAAAAAAAAATGAACGAATATCATAGTAGTCCCGATACCTCGATTCCTAGGTTTTTGCCTTTGCGTAAGCTTCATTATAAGAAATACAAATAATTCACATACGTGAAGATACCTATCCCAATTCTATTTGGGCTTTTTTAAGAGACTTGGCACATATCTTGTCTTGTTATACATGTACCTACTAGCTAGTGGCTAATTTCTCCCACATTCGTTTGAGCTGCTATTTAAGGGGCCTCCATAAATCACACGCAATCAACGCTGCTTTTTACTTCCCACGCCACAGGCTAGAAAGCATAATTGCGAAAAAATCGAAAATGAAATGATTGTTGGACGTTAGATGATATGTACATATATGTATATATACAGGGTTTGTCCTGAAAGTAATAGGACTGAGTCGATTTAAAAAAATTACTGAGCCAATCGTTACAATTCTTTAAAAAGTTTCAAAATAGGCTCCCTCTGCGTCGATGCAGCGGTGCCAGCGCGATTTCCAAGCATTGAATGCGTTACGGAAGGCATTCTGCGCAATAGCCTTGAGAGCCGCGGTGCATGCTGCTTGGATCCCCTTTGTCGTCACAAAATGCTTGCCTTTCATCGGCCTTTTCAGGCGAGAAAACAAAAAAAGTCCGGGGGCCACATCTGGGCTGTAGGGCGGCTGCGGAAGCGTTGGGATGCCGGCCTTGGTCAGGTGGCTGTTCACAAGAAAGGCGGTGTGAGCTGGGGCGTTGTCGTGGTGCAACTTCCAGTCGGCTGCGATGTCTTGTCGGACCCGACTGACCCTTCGTTTGAGTCTCCTGAGCACTTCCACGTAAAACTTGGCGTTGACGGTTTATCCAGAAGGAACAAATTCATGATGGACGATGCCTTTGATGTAAAAAAAGACAATGAGCATCGTTTTCACCTTGGATTTGCTCATTCTTCCCTTTTTTGGGCGAGGAGACGCCGTCGTGTGCCACTCGGAAGATTGCCTCTTTGTTTCGGGATCATACTCAAAGATCCACGACTCGTCACCTGTGATTACGTTATTCAAAAATTGGGGTCACTTTTACACATGTTCAAATTTTCTTGGCACACTTCCACTCGCCGCAATTTCTGGTCGTCAGTGAGCACTTTTCTGACCATCTTCGCGCACACCTTGCGCATGTTCAAATGCTGTGTCACAATTTGATGAACCACAAACTTTGGTAAATTTAACATCTGGGAAATTAAACGAATACCTAGTCGACGGTCTGAGTTCAAAACTTTGCGCACACGAGTCACATTATCGGTGCTCGAAGGTCTTCCAGCACGGTCTTTATCAGCGACCTCTTCCCGGCCCTCCAAAAAGGCCTGGTGCCACCGAAACACACCACTTCTTGCTAAAGCAACACCTGGGTAAGCCTGCTTGATCATATCAAACGTCTCTGTCGCAGATTTACCGAGTTTCACACAGAATTTAATCGCTTACCTCTGCTCTAACAAACGCTGCATTTTCGGCTTGAACCACTCACAGAAACACGTCGCGCGAAAATGCCTGTCCTGATTCTCCAAGTGCTCGGAGACAACTGACCAGCCGCTCATTCGTTAGCTAGGAACGCCCTCTACCGAATCCAGTTGGTGTGCGCGCAAGTACAGTCATGGCGGAAGAAAATGAGTCCTATTACTTTCCGGACAAACCCTGTATATATATATATATACATCATTTGTACTGTTTATAACTTGAAAGGTCAACTGGTGCGGTGGACCTACAGGTAGAAAAACATTTGGACATTTCAGCAGCTTCGAATTTCATTTATCTATTTCCGGAAAACTTTTTGTTGGACTCAAGAATTGAGGTCGGGGGCTCTAGGGGACGTAGATGGTATCTCAATGTCTTTGCGTAAGTATATATTATACGCTTCCAATCTTGGGCACTCTACGCACCTCTCAGATATGTTTCGCAACTTCTCTTTCATTCTAAGTTTCAAGGGAAAATGTACGGGGAATTTGTAACTTGTGAAACACATCTGACAGGTGCATAGAATACCTGAGATTGTAAGCGTATGAATAGACTTCCGCGAAGAAATTGGGATATACCATCTACGTTCCCTACAGCCCCGAGCCCTCAATTCTTAAGCCCAACAAAAAGTTTTCCGGAAATAAATAAATAAATGAAATTAGAAGCTGCTGAAACATCGAAAACGAAACTTGAGAGATTTTTTTTTATTTTTCACCCTTTTCTTTCACTATCAGCTTCAGGGGAAAATGTACGGAAGAATTTGTAAGTATCACGGAAGTCTAATCCATGGATGCTGTCAAGTGGCGAGGTAAGTCATAGCAACATTGCCGGATGATCGACCGTGTCGGTAGGGCGGGGCAGAAATTTCTAGATCACCACGTTGTCAAATGAGTGGGGACTATGGACTTATTGTATGGGCCTTACTTGATTCATTTACATTTTTTGATATACATGTTTTTAGCTTTTTTTTCTCAGAGGGGCTAACTTATCCCGACCTGATGACAGAGTTGCGTGGGAAGCACAGGGTTAATTCACTTGACTATGTTTTAGTAGAAGCCATTCAGAAGACACTGTTTTTGCGGAACATGTAAATAAAATTAAGGTTGATTTACCAATAATTCAGAAACTTGCAACTGAATTTGTACTATTGAAAATAAATACCTGGCGTTCGTTGTCCAAAGCGTCTTGCAGTTTTGAAGCTATATCTTCAGGTTCAGCAGTCTGCACAGTTACATCCTCTTCGTTGGTTACCACTTTCGCGAACCAGTCTTTATCTACAGCTAAAATTTTAGGCATCGAACTCATCTTCGCGGAGCCACCTAATAAACTGCCCCTTTCTTGTTCAGCTAAAAACTATTTAAAATTACAGATTTATTATCTGAAAAAGATTTCCATTTTCCAAGAGTAAAGCAGTTTGTTTTTTCGCTCATGTGCTGGTTAAAAACTTATTTGAAATTCATAGATTCAAATCATATTTACTATTGTCAAACTGAAATAAATAAATGTTAGAGGAAGTCAGTTAGGGCTGGTTGATCTTAAAGGGGAGTAAGGTGCAAATGTTTGGTTGTGTTTTCCTTCTGTTAAAATGGAAACCCGTTTCCCAGCATTATGCAGATTAACTGTTGAGGTATTTCAGAAAAATGACTTCATGAGAGGCAATATTTGTTTGTTTAAGATTTATCTAGCATCTTTGCTAAAATTACATTACCTAAAAAATACAACAATTACATATCATACAAATATTTAGAAAGAAACTTGCATCTTTGAGAATTTTCACTGTCCATGAAATGTTGCTTTAATTTTCTTTTAAATATCCTGAAATTACAAGTAGACTTTATATCATTATTTAGTATATCAAATTCAATAAGACCGATAATGACGTACACAGTGGAGACAAGAGCAGATACGGCGAAAACACAAAGATTATCGGAAACAGCAGAAATGAAAGTCTCACGAAAAATAACAAACCAAAATCTAAGAGACAGAGTAAGAAGTGAGGAAATATGAGCGAGATGTGGTATAGAGGATATAAACCTGTGGACCAAAAGAAGAAAAATAGAATGGAATCAACACATAGAAAGAATGACAGAAAATAGAACAGTATGAATAGCAAGAGACAAATCGCCAAATGGAAGATCAATGGGACGACCGAGGAAAAGATGGTCAGACAACATCAACTGACGCTAAAAGGCACGAGCCTGTTAATAAAGTAGGAAGAAGAAGAAGAAATTCAAGTAATGCTTTGTGAAATATTGATTTGCTAGTTATATTAGTTATGGAATTTTGTAAATGGGAATCTATATTTCCTCTTGTATAATATTTGTGGGAATAATTATTCAATTCTATGTAATGTTCTAAATGTTGTGTCAAAAGATGGTATTTTGTTTCAGATATACACATTTTGTCGTTTTTTCAGTATCTTCAATTTGTCTTTGTAATGATTCAATCTTTTTATATAATTCTTTGTCAATTTTTCTTGAATTGATATTCAGTTTGATTATTTCTTGTATTTCTTTTCTCATCCAATATTTTCTCAGTTTCTATTTCATCACTATAACCTTCGTATTTTGTTGCTTCCATATCTATTCTATCTTTCAGAAAAGACTTAACTAACTAAATCCTACAAATGTCTGTCAAAAAGTCCTGCAGCCAAAAATCTCGGACAGCCCTTGCAGAGTATCCTCCACCACCTTAACAGCTTGCATGTATACCGAAATATCAAATTCACCTGTTAACCTGACAATGAAGGTAAGAAGGGATTTGACATCATTGTCACATTTGTGAGCTATAAGTTTTCTGAAATTTTTTGGCGAAAAAAAGTTGTTAAAAGATGGAAGTTGACCCAGGAGGGTCAAGAGATAACGCATATTAAGGGGAAAGAGCTGAACGGCAGCGGAAACTAAGCGGAAGCAGAAGACATGGGCCCACTGACGCAGTTGTCATCGGAGTAGAAAACCATCGAAAAATTGATGTTGATTATAGACGATCACGCGTGGGAGATCCGAGACCTTATGGAGACCAGATAGCTAAAATTGACAGCCTGATCGCCCAGGTAACAGTTTTAGTAAATTCAAACATCGACCATGAAATTCTAGGTTGAATTCAACTAGTGGGTTCCGATTATACAACATGTGATGCGAAATGGGTACCTTATACATATCACTGAAGAGCCGACACATCATCCATTCAGGCACCAGATGTCAGTGACTCCACGATACCTAAAAACTGTAGATACAGTACCTCTTCTCGAATCTTGTATGATATCTCTAGTGATCATCTACCTGTTGTCTTGGATGTGAGTAATGAGCAAACTTCTGAGGAGGAAGCTCCGCCAAGGAAACGTATTGATTGGGAGCTATACAAGTTGTTCCGGTATACCGATCATAGATGATGTGGCTGGAATAGATGCCGCTCAAGCGGAGTGGAAAATCTCTGACAAACGAGCTGCTACTAAGCAGAAAAAACCGACGAGCTTTGTACGAAATTTAGCATATTAAATTTAGCCCAAAATTTCGTATCGTGACAGACGGCCATTATACTGATATAGGTACTCATAAGATGAGCAGAAGGGATACTTCGAATATTTTAAATTTGATTGCCATGTTATCGAAACTCAAAGTACTGCCTTATGATTCAGTGAATGTGGAAACATATGGAACTCAAAAGCTTCATTTACTCTTTAATGATTGAGCATGTATATATGAAATATACATCTGTAATATACTATTGATAATTGCCTTCATCCTATATATATATATATATATATATATATTCCGATTTTATAATCCTTTATGGGGTATATATCTCAAGCTTCTTCAAATCTCTCTAACTGGGAAAAAGAAACCTCATCCATTTAAATAGTCAGGCAAGCAACGACAGAATTCATCTCCTCGGAAATTCTCTACAGCGCATCTTACAATTAGATTTTTTCTACAAAATATTGGATGCCTATTATTGATAGAAGGATTGTAGGGTTTTTCATCAGGGAAGGATAACACGTAAAATCTCTGCAATTGAAAGGTGATCGACAAAATTAGATATTTTCATGTGACTCCTTGACCCGTAAGTGTCGATTGAGGCAATTAAGATGATGCTTACACAACTTTTCATTTGGTTCGCTTCTTTTGTTGGTTTAAACATACCACACCAGCAATATTTAGGCTCCATACTTACACTTTCTCTTCTGTCCGAGGCATCTGAGTTTCTAATGCTACTGTTCCTCTTTTCACTCTCTTCTTGGAAGATTTCTGGAAGACCGGATTGTAGTCGAATTTCAGGAGTATCGGGCGCAAGCTTACGCTTTGGTTTAGGAGGATTCAAAACGAACATTACAATCGTGCCGTCACTCAAATTCCAGTGGAATGTATAATTCTTGTAATCTTTTTTTGAATATATGTTACTCGAATGTAGTACTAGTTGGTTGTCCCTGCAAGCAAATAATTTCATTTGGAAGTCAGTGCCCTAAACAACAAAATAAAAAATGGCGCCAAAGTAGTAATAGCTGATATGAAATATTTCTGACGCTCTGCGATTTAGTATTTGAAAATCGCAAAATACGCCAAATTCGACCTCGAAAACAAAATGAAAAACAGAAACTTCAATATTGTCAGGGTTCCTGGATATCCTTCAAACGCCCATTAATAAAATCTCAAAGCATTTAGAGGGTACTGCTATTGTAAACGTTTGTTTTTTAATTGCGTTATATCAAAGATATTTATTAAACGGTGAATGAGCTCACATGGTTGTATCCAACGCTGGTTGAGGTACATACTTTAATACCATTCACCATTTAGTAAGCAACATGGACCTGATGAGATAAATTATAAGCAAAAAAATGCTTTTGGTAGTGGTAATAGCATATTTTGCACATTTTCAAATACAAGTGGAAAACTGGAGCTACGAAAAGCATGGCGTCAAGTAGATTAACTCTGCACGTCATACGCAACGCCGTCATGGATTAAGTTCATCACACGTTAAACCCTTTAAGAAAAATGTTAGTTACGAACATGTACACTAGAGGAATCATTCGGATGAAATAGTCAAACAGGCCCGTACAATCTTCCAAACACATTATTTTCCTGACCTACCAGTAGTTACTGTCCATCTGGCAACGCTGCCCCTTCCCATATCGTCAGATGCGGGAGCGCCCAACGAGGCACCGCCGCAGTGCGATCAGAACAAACACGCAGTCCGGTACGCTGGACGATCGTCTCAGATAATAGAGGGAGACGTGTACCGAAAACATGTATCTGTCTTATTAGTTTTAAAGATGAAGAAACCGTTGACGTGTGAAATATGGCTTATAGGTGCATATAATTCTCGCAGGGTATCTTGCAGCTAGCAAGGGGTTTTCAGTATGCGTCAGCAAGTCATGACTGTATGTCTCAATGTCTGTTGCAGATGATAGAAATTCTGTTCACAGTAGGTGATTCTGTGGCGGCGAATCCAGCTTCTTGCCGGCTGCAAGTTTCTTCTCCTTTGACTAGTGTCAGGTACTCCTTGTTGATTGGCTTGTCTCTATGGCGACGAATTTGATGTTTTGTCAGTCTTGTGACCGCCACCAAATTTTGCAAAAAGTACCTCTGGCTTGGAAGCAGATTGGCTTCGATGATGGTGAACCAGATGAAGACTTCTGCTTCCGAATGCACTTTCTACCCACTCTCTGTTGTACTCGATAGAATGGGTTTTCTTGGGTGCAGCTTTGTGCCAGGACATGATTGAAATTTCCTGTCCCAAAAGCTGCACCTATGTAAATCCGCCACGCCTGGGCCCTCCATGTGGATGCCTGGGAGCATCTTCTGTGACGATTTTGTAGGCCTTGTAGTGAAGTGCCAACCACAAGAGCACTTGTTGGTCGGCCGGCCTGGCCTGTTTTGGGGTGATGTGGTTGGAGATGACGAACCCCCAAAATGAGTCTTGGGAGCCAATGGGGAACAATTTACTATCATTACTAGCTTTAGAAGCTGAACATTACACGCAGTGGTCAACATCTGCATCGCATTGTGTGTAGTAATATGTGATGGACAATCTGCCTGGTTGATGGAGTTAGCGGACTGAATACCCATACCTACCAATAATATTGCAGCTCTGATGAAAAGGTATACGACCTGAAGGGTAATGAAATTCAGGAGAGAATGGGGCAAACTATCGTATCTGCCCGGAAGTCGCAATGTCTAACGAGGGATATTCAACTACGGGAGTTGAGGTAGGAAGTTGTACCTCTTTCAACGTGGATAGTATGTCCCAAGGATCATCACCCATTACAGAGTTGCGGGATCACTTCGAACAAAAGGTGGAAGTTACTCTTCAGGATGCGAGGAGTGGAGTGTTCTAGTCTACAACGACACAGGAAGTTCGCAGATCGGAAAAGTAGGGAAGTGAGAAATTTGATTTCGGAAAAACTGCAGAGGCGAGTTAGTGGAGCCTTAATAAACCACAATTGTTACAAAATTGACGAATTAAACAACGAAAACTGCCTGAATCGAGTGATGGAAAAAGGAAGGTAATTTTAAATTTCTATGAGCTTGTTTGTGCCAGAGGCAAGCGGAAGTTGCGGGATTTGAATTACTAAACTGTGTTAGTTAGGAAAGAAGTTTGAAGGTTGGGCGTACACTCTTAAGAAAACTCCAGTACTCACCCAGTAGGACGGTATATGTACTAATGTCCTCATATACTGGATAGTCGGACGATATCAATCTGTGTAAACAGCAACCCAAAAATACCATTAGAACGTTCACTTTGTACGTCTTATGAGGAGAAAATATGTTTCTAAGTTTAAAGGGCAAATGCACGGGAAAACCTATGATACCTGAAATATGTCTAATAGGTGCGTAGAATTACCGGGGTTAAAAGTGTATTAATATGCTAATACAAAAAAAAATGCGAAAGACCCTCCCTGACGCCTCTACAACACCCAACTCCCTCAATTTTTTAGCCCTAGTCTTTTTTCAAAAATGATTGAGATCCTTCGAAATGCCAGAAAGCGAAGTTTGAGCGATTTTTCGCCACCGCCAGTAGACCGATTTTCAAAAACAACGTGGCACAGCAGTAACCCAAATTTCATCAAATTCCGAAAGGTAGTTTCCAATTTATAGCGGGGTCAGCGGACGGACAGGTAGACAGACAGACAGATCGATGGAAATGAGTGACATGTTTCTTCGTGATGTACATAACATCTAATATCGTTTTCGAAATTTCTCGCGATGAAAATAGTTCCTCACCTAGTGGCGTAGTAAACAAAAAAGAGAAATTTTTGAAATCAGCACATCAAAAATACTCAAGTTAAGTAGTTGTTACTTCTTCGCCAAAAGTGAACTGTGTGGTAGAGTACCGTTAGACGAAAAAACATGAAAACCTACGAAAACAGGTCCACTGGATGAATCGTAGTGTTGTTTTCTCGAATGCGTTGAGATACTGTATAGAAGTTTGCCGGTCATTTGCATGCTTTTTGATCTCCAATTATTCCTCTTTAAATTTTTATTTTCAATGTATACAGATTAATCAGGCTTATAATATACCAGCTAGTAGATCTCATTAAACTGAACAAAAAGCCATGCAAATTTATGTACTTTACGGCTTCATTAGTAAGATGAAAGGTGTTCAAGTTCCTTCCTTTTAATTCATATATTTTTAATTACTTTTAAATTAGTTGAGTGATTTGAACAGAATTGATTATATCCGACTCAATTATCCAGGGGCGGGACTATAAAATTTCAACAGGGTACTTCGTGGTTTAACTAAGTAAGACACTGGTTCCTTTGTCAAGTAGTTTAAAGGCGGCGATTAACTGAAGTCAAGCGCTGTAATGTTACGTAACACAAAAATTCGCTAGTTCAATCGCTTAGGCAAGGCGCGCACATGCGATTTTCGGTCGCAGGATTGTTTAGTCGCAACAATGAAACACACAGTTTTTTAATACAAATGCGCGCATATGCGACTAGATAATCGCCGCGGCTAAAAAGATGCAACTAGTTCTATTCAGGAATTGACGCGATTATCGCAAATCAAAATAAGTCACATGGACACAACGACTGCGGCTACTTAATAATTCAGTATTCAACAACTGTGCCGAACTGCGTTGGGCTGCTGATTTCTTAAAATGTCCGAAGACGAATTGTCCACCAGGGATGATCATCCAGATAGGGTCTTGGACACATAACGAATAATTACCGAGGTGGATAAAAGACCTGCTATTTACACCAAGCAACTAAAAGAGTATAGCCACCGGAATTTGAAGGACAAACTGTGGGGCCAAGTTTGTACGAATATAATACGTAATTGGATGGAATTGTCTGCAACTGGAAAACAAAAGAAATGTATTTTCATGTTGTTTATTTTCTATATCATTCTCAGGTGATATAGAATGGTACAATTCAAATTTTATCATATTACCACGGTCTTGAGCCTTCTGGAAATGTAAAGTAATTTTCAAAATAATCTCGGATTTTAAGGCCATACACATGTTAGTCCGTGATCGGATCGCACGACAGCTTTGCATACGACACTCTTATAACTCATCCTCAACTCGTATACCATCCTTTTTCTACACGAAATTATGTAAAACACAACATGCCTTGCTAATATGGTCAGCTTCGTAGTATTCCTTTATAAGTCGTGTTTTGGATTTATTTCGTAATATCAACGCAACCACACAAGCAGTTTGAGTAAAATCCATGATGGTACTAAATGTAGTTATGACTAATTCATCGCAAGTGCGAGCCAAACAAATTTGTAAATACATTTTTCCGCGATCAAGATTTTTCGGTCGCACGAAGTTGACCATATCATCAAAGCAAGTTGTGTTTTTCATAATTTCGTGCGAAAAAAGGATAGTATACGAGCTGAGGATGAGTTATAAGAGTCTGCTATGTAAAGCTGTCATCCAACTGGAACACGGGCTCAGGGCTCCGACACGCCAAGCTGCTGTTCCATCAACAACAACTAGCCACTCCTCACACCGTCAGGTAAGCAACTATACTAAAATTCAGCCCAAGTGAGACCACAACATTGCAAACTCGAAGCGTGATCAGCGCGTGATCGATGTTCCCGCAGAGGGTCTCATTATAGTTCAGGCATTTTACGGTTTGAAGTTGTAGTTTGAAGCGCTTGCTTTTTCAACTAATAGTTTCATTTCGTAGCTTTTATTTTTCTTTTTTTAAACTTTCCGCCCCTCATATTGATGCTTTTGTTAATTACAATGTCCTGAAGTAGCTCCAATATAAAACTCCATGAATTTGGAAAACATGCAGTTTCGAACATTTTTTAAGACCTAGTCAGACTCTAGCAATATAAAACCCGCCGTTGCGCAGCGTCGATGTCTACAAAAACCAGAGTTGTAATCAGGCCGTGGCGTGGCGTCGAGTGCATCGCTGTTATAAGTTCTGTTATATCTGGTGTTTTTTGACCATGTCTTCTACCGACACAGCT